AGTCTGGGTGACAGAGTGAGACTCCAACTCAAAAAAACAAAAAACAAAAAACAAAAAAAACAAAAATAAAAACAAACAAACCCCCCAAAAAACACCACATCTCTACCTTTCCCTCTTTTTTGCATTTATGGTTGTTACTTGCGTCAATTTTTTTTTTTTTAGTTGGAGTGTCACTCTGTCATTCAGGCTGGAGTGCAGTGGCACATTCACGGCCCCTGCAGCCTTGACCTGTTGGACGCCAGCCATCCTTCCACCTCAGCCTTCCAAGTAACTGGAACTATAGGCACGTGCTTCCACACCTGGCTAATTTTTTATTGTAGAGATGAGGTCTCGCCAAGTTGCCCTGGCTGGTCTCGAACCCATGGGCTCACACAATCCACTCGCCTCAGTCTCCCAAAGTGCTAGGATTACAGGGTGAGCCACAAGCCCAGCCTACTTTCATTTATTAACACACAAAAACATAGCACAGACCAAAACATGGAATTTGACATCCATAAATATAGTATTTATGTAGATAAACATTTTTACTTTAACTTTCTCTTTTTGTACACAGAAGATAGGGTTATAGTGTTGTAGACTCGCCTTTGCTCTTTTGCTGTAGTGAATTTCTGATAATTTTTGCCACAGTATATTCTTTTAATGTTGACTTTTAGTGGCATTTAGTATATTCACAATGTTGTGCAACCATTATCACTATTTCCAGGACATTTCATCACCCCAAAGGAGATTCCATACCCATTAAGCAGTCACACTCTTTTCTCCCCTTGCCAGGCCTTGGCTACCAGTAATTTGCTTTCTGTGTTTTTGAATTTGCCTGAATGTTTTCTTTGTTTCTTTGTTGTTGTTGTTGTTGTTGAGTCAGAGTCTCACTCTGTCGCCTAGGCTGGAGTGCAGTGGCATGCTCATGGCCACCACAGCCTCAATATGCTTGACTCAGGCAATCCTTCCGCCTCAGCCTTCCAAGTAGCTGGAACTATAGGCGTGAATCACCACGTCCAGCTAATTTTTTTGATTTATTATAGAGATGAGGTCTCGCCATGTTACCCAGGCTGGTCTTGAGCCTGTGGGCTCAGGCAGTCCTTTTGCCTCTGCTTCCCAGTATGCTGGGATCGCAGGTGGGAGCCATTGCACCTGACTTGAACATTTTCTATAAATGGAAGCATGCCACTGCATGTGGCATCTTGTGTCTGTTTCTTTCATGTAGCGTGTTTTCAAGGTTCATTCGTATTCTGTCATGTATCAGTAGTTCACTTCTTTTTATTGCTGAATAATGTTTCTTTTTATGCATATGGCACATTTTGTTGATCCCCCTCCTCAGTTGCTGGACATTTTGGTTGTTTTCAGTGTTTGCTTATTGTGAATAGAGCTGCTATGTTGTGTACCGGTTTTGTTTTGTGTTTTTTGAACATCTGTTTTTACTTATTTTGCGTATCCCTGGGAGTGGAATTTCTGAATCATAAAATAATTCTATGTCCAACTTTTTAAGGAACGGCCAAACTTCTCTGTAGTGGCTATGCCATTTTACATTGCTGCCAGCAATGTGTGAGGGTTTGCTTTATAGCTTTTGAACTCATTTTTCTACTTCATAAGCTGGTTTTAAGGATATTCTATTTTTTTTTTTTTTTTTTGAGTTGGAGTCTCACTCTGTCGCCCAGACTGGAGTGCAGTGGCCGCTCCCGGCCACCGCAGCCTCGACCTGCTGGGCTCCGGCGATCCTTCCGCCTCAGCCTTCCAAGTAGCCGGAATTACAGGCATGCGCTACCACGCCCGGCTGATTTTTTGATTTACTGTAGAGATGAGGTCTCGCTGCCTAGGCGGGTCTCGAACCCGCGAGCTCGGGCAATCCATTCACCTCAGCCTCCCAAAGGCGCGGGATTACAGGCTGAGCCACTGAGCCCGGCTGGATATTTTATTTTTAAGCCTTATTCTGTTTAGATTGAATTCATTAGCAGCTTTCTTACACTTTTCACCATCCCCGTTCAGATTTATGCACACATTCAGAGCCTTCTTAGCTTCCCATTGATGACAGTATTAAGAGGTCACCTATCATGCAGGGATTGGGGATCCTTAAGTATGTTAACCTCCCCTTTTTTTTTTTTTTGCTTATAGTAATCACTGGCCAGTATCGAAATGGTGTAATTTCAGCCCGAACTCGGATTGATGTTCTTTTGGACACTTTTAGAAGAAAGCAGCCCTTCACTCACTTCCTTGCCTTTTTCCTCAATGAAGTTGAGGTTCAGGAAGGGTTCCTGAGGTTCCAGGAGGAAGTACTGAAGATGTGCTCCATGGTAAGCAGCAAACAGTTAAAAAAAGGTTACATATAAAAAGAGTACAAAAGTGGGTCATAGTTCAAGAGGTAGAAAGATGCAAACCTCATCCCTCACTAAAAAAAGTAGCTGTTTATTTTGGTGTCTCTTATGAGAGGGGACCCAAAAGAACCCTGAATTTGTTTATAAAAAATTGTGTATTTATTCTTACATGTTTACACTTCCGTCACTTTCAAAGTACTCTCTGTTTGATGCAATACACCTGTCGAGACTCTTTTCCACTATTCAAAACAGTTTTTAAACTAATCAGTTTTGATGCCTGTTAGTTCTTCTGCCATTTTTTGGTTTCACCTCTTCTATATCAGCAAAACATTTCCATTTGAGAACTATTTTCTTTTTTTTTAATTTCTTCTTTTTTTGGAGCTGGAGTCTCCCTCTGTTGCCCAGGTTGGAGTGCAGTAGCACACTCATGGCCGCCCTAGCGTTGACCTGCTGGGCTCCAGCGATTCTTCAGCCTCAGCCTTCCTGGTAGCTGGAACTACAGGTGTGTGCTACCACACCTGGCCTACTTTTGATTTATTGCAGAGACGAGGTCCCGCAAAGTTGCCCTGGCTGGTCTCAAACCCGCGGGTTCAGGCAATCCACTTGCCTTGGCCTCCCAAAATGCTGGGATTACAGGCTGAGCACCGAGCCTGGCTGAGGACTATTTTCATCCAGGAAAACAAACAAAAAAAAGTCACTCATGGCGTTTTTGATAAAGAACTACTGAACACTCCGTGTGGAATGGGCAGGTACATTGTCATGGTGGAAGAACCATTCACTTGTTTGCTACAACTGGCATCATTTCTGTCGCAAATCATGATGCAACCTTCTCTAAACTTCTGTATAAAAACTTTGGTTGGAACAGGCTCGGTGGTTCAGCCTGTAATCCCAGCACTTTGGGAGACTGAGGTGAGTGGATTGCCTGAAACCGCGGGTTCAAGACCAGCCCGGGCAACTTGGTGAGACCTTGCCTCTACAAGAAATAAAAAATTAAGCTGGGCTCGGTGGCTCAGCCTGTAATCTCGCGCCTTTGGGAGGCTGAGGTGAGTGGATTGCCTGAGCCCGCGGGTTCGAGACCTGCCTGGGCAACGAGACCTCATCTCTACAATAAATCAAAAAAATCAGCTGGGTGTGGTAGCGCGTGCCTGTAATTCTGGCTACTCGGAACGCTGGGGCGGAAGGATCGCTGGAGCCCAGCAGGTCGAGGCTGCGGTGGCCGGGAGCGGCACTGCACTCCAGTCTGGGCGACCAAGTGAGACTCCAACTCAAAAAAAACAAAATTAGCCAGGTGTGGTATTGTGCGCCTGTAGTTCTGGCTACTTGAAAGGCTGAGGCAGAAGGATCACCAGAGCCCAGCAGGTCAACACTGGAGTGGCCTGGAGTTTCACTCCAGTGAAACTCCAACTAACAAAAAAGAACTTTGGTTGATCATTTGATCCAGAGGAACAAATTCTGAGTGCACTCTAAAGGACCCACCTGCCAAAAGATAATTCCGGTTTTTTGGGGGTTCCCCCTTGTAATACTGAACTGAAAAAAATGTATAAACATATCTGCCTATATGTTCCTGTATATTACAGAAATATCTTTTTAAAATTTCAAGACACAAAAGGCTCATCCTTTTTTTTGTTTGTTTGAGTTGTGGGTCTCATTCTGTTGCCCAGGCTGGAGTGCTGTGACACAATCACAGCTCACTGCAGCTCAGGTAATCCTTCTGTCTTAGCCTCTTGAGTAGCTGGGACTAGAGCTGCGTGCCACCATGCCCAGCTAGTTTTTTGATGTTTTGTAGAGATGAGCTCTTGCTATGTTGCCCAGGCTGTCTCAAACTTTGGCCTCAAGCAATTATTTCACTATGGCCTTCCAAAGTGCTGGGATTACAGGTGTGAACCACCTTGCCTGGCCTGAAGGCTTATCTTAACACACATTATTCTTAATCTTTTGGGTGACAATGTGAATGAGTGCCATTATCTGTAGATCATCTGTCTTTGGTCAGTCATGGCTCATTTGGGATTAGTAACTAAAAGATAAATTTGCATGTAGAATTGTCATACTTTTGAAACAGTGAAATGCTTGTGACCAGGATAATAGCAGATAATCCAGACTAGAAAACAAGTTTTAAAGCTCCTTTTGGATATAATTTTGGTGGCTTTTAAAAATAATGTTTATTGCCGGGCTCGGTAGCTCAGCCTGTAATCCTGCGCCTTTGGGAGGCTGAGGTGAGTGAATTGTCTGAGCCTGCGGGTTCGAGACCC